CACAATGCCTTCTCCCCTCCACACACTGACCACACAGGGCCAAAGGCTAGTAACCTCCTGTTACCAGATCCTTCATAAATATGCTCCTCATCCAGGGACATGCATCACCTCGTAACCCGAAATGGTGTACCGATAATGAGGTGACGCAGCGGCCATATTGCTTTCCCCAGATACCATGCAGTACACCCCATAGGATGTGGTGACAGGCTGAATGTGTCTGGGAATTACACGTGATGCAATAGAACTTGTATCCATTCTTACAATAAACAATACTGCACTATGGAAGGATCTTTCTGTGTCACTTATATGTCCTGGAGGGGAAGTGGAGTGGATAAGGTACGCTTGGGAGGAGTCCCCCATTTATCCTGTGGTCCCTGGATGAGGAGCATATTTATGAGGATCTGGTACAGAGGAGGTTACTAGCCTTTGGCCCTGTGTGGTCAGTGTGTGGAGGTGAGAAGGCATTGCTGACATTTGTGGATTTTTTTCACCAGAGTGAAGATCACCTTTTGACAGTTTCACTTGCATGGACTTTATATTTTGAATATTCATGGATGGTTTTTTTGCATTGATTCACATTCTGATGTCATTTAATATTGAGTGGTTATTAGTTTTGTAAAATATATTGTTAATACATTCGATATATATTTCTTTATATCACTTGAACTTTATTTATTTCTATATATTCTTTGTGTAGTGGTGTCACATTAAGGATAGTTTATTCCTGTTTGCGGGTCATTTTTACAACTGAGCAGTAATATGTTGACACATTTTGCACAATTAAGTATGTATTTTTATTTATGATTAGGATTTGGGTTTATATAGCGCTTCACTATTTTATGTATGTTTAAATCCCAGCAAGCATTCACCCGATATAAATCTGCTTTCTTCACATACAATTCCTCCCTCCATGCTGCCAAAACAAGCCTACTTTGTCACTATCATCAATACCTTGTCATCCAGTCCACGTCATCTCTTCTCTACTGTTAACTCTACTTTCTCCACCTCCACCCAGCACCTTCACCTCCACCCAGAATCTCCACCTCCACCCAAAACCTTGTTCACTGCTTATGAGATTACAAATCATTTCAAAAACAAGACTGACGCAATTCGTAGGGGCCTCTCCTCTGCACAGACATTCATCCCACTTAGTACACCTCATACTAAACCTCCCTCAACACTTTCCTCTTCTGACCTCACTACTACCGAAGAGGTCACTAAGGTTTTCTCAGAAGCCCATCTCACTACCTGCCCCCTGGATCCTGTCCCCTCACAACTACTACAGTCACCGTCTTCTTCTATCCTACACTCCCTCACTCACATCTTCAACCTCTCCCTCCCTAACCGTGCCTTCCCCTCCCCTCTAAAGCATGCGCACATCACTTCCATACTTAACAAGCCCTCCTTGGACCCCACCAACCTGAACATCTTAAGACCCATCTCCCTGTTGCCATTTACCTCTAAACTCCTAGAACGCTTAGTCTACAATCACCTGAGCTCCCATCTCACCGACAACAACCTTCTTGACCCTTTACAGTCTGGCTTTCACTCGCTACACTCCACTGACACCGCCCTACTAAACCTCACTAATGATCTACTAACTGCTATAACCAATGGCCACTACTCCATACTCATCCCAACCAATGGCCACTACTCCATACTCATCCCAACCAATGGCCACTACTCCATACTCTTCCCAACCAATGGCCACTACTCCGTACTCTTCCCAACCAATGGCCACTACTCCGTACTCTTCCCAACCAATGGCCACTACTCCGCACTTATCCCAACCAATGGCCACTACTCCGTACTCTTCCCAACCAATGGCCACTACTCCGTACTAATCCCAACTGATGGCTAATACTCCGTACTAATCCCAACCAATGGCCACTACTCCGTACTCATCCCAACCAATGACCACTACTCCGTACTCATCCCAACCAATGGTCACTACTCCGTACTCATCCCAACCAATGGCCACTACTCCGTACTCTTCCCAACCAATGGCCACTACTCCGTACTCTTCCCAACCAATGGACTACTCCGTACTCTTCCCAACCAATGGCCACTACTCCGTACTCATCCCAACCAATGGCCACTACTCCGTACTCATCCCAACCAATGGCCACTACTCCGTACTCATCCCAACCAATGGCCACTACTCCGTACTCCTCCCAGCCAATGGCCACTACTCCGTACTCCTCCCAACCAATGGCCACTACTCCGTACTCATCCCAACCAATGGCCACTACTCCGTACTCCTCCCAGCCAATGGCCACTACTCCGTACTCATCCCAACCAATGGCCACTACTCTGTACTCATCCCAACCAATGGCCACTACTCCGTACTCATCCCAACCAATGGCCACTACTCCTGTACTCATCCCCAACCAATGGCCACTACTCTGTACTCATCCCAACCAATGGCCACTACTCTGTACTCATCCCAACCAATGGCCACTACTCTGTACTCATCCCAACCAATGGCCACTACTCTGTACTCATCCCAACCAATGGCCACTACTCCGCACTTATCCCAACCAATGGCCACTACTCCGCACTTATCCCAACCAATGGCCACTACTACTCCGTACTCTTCCCAACCAATGGCCACTACTCCGTACTAATCCCAACTGATGGCTAATACTCCGTACTAATCCCAACCAATGGCCACTACTCCGTACTCATCCCAACCAATGACCACTACTCCGTACTCATCCCAACCAAATGGTCACTACTCCGTACTCATCCCAACCAATGGCCACTACTCCGTACTCTTCCCAACCAATGGCCACTACTCCGTACTCTTCCCAACCAATGGCCACTACTCCGTACTCATCCCAACCAATGGCCACTACTCCGTACTCATCCCAACCAATGGCCACTACTCCCGTACTCATCCCAACCAATGGCCACTACTCCGTACTCCTCCCAGCCAATGGCCACTACTCCGTACTCCTCCCAGCCAATGGCCACTACTCCGTACTCATCCCAACCAATGGCCACTACTCCGTACTCCTCCCAGCCAATGGCCACTACTCCCGTACTCATCCCAACCAATGGCCACTACTCTGTACTCTACTCCCACCAATGGCCACTACTCCGTACTCATCCCAACCAATGGCCACTACTCTGTACTCATCCCAACCAATGGCCACTACTCTGTACTCATCCCAACCAATGGCCACTACTCTGTACTCCTCCCAGCCAATGGCCACTACTCCGTACTCCTCCCAGCCAATGGCCACTACTCCGTACTCATCCCAACCAATGGCCACTACTCCGTACTCCTCCCAGCCAATGGCCACTACTCCGTACTCATCCCAACCAATGGCCACTACTCTGTACTCATCCCAACCAATGGCCACTACTCCGTACTCATCCCAACCAATGGCCACTACTCTGTACTCATCCCAACCAATGGCCACTACTCTGTACTCATCCCAACCAATGGCCACTACTCTGTACTCATCCCAACCAATGGCCACTACTCTGTACTCATCCCAACCAATGGCCACTACTCCGTACTCATCCCAACCAATGGCCACTACTTCGTACTAATCCCAACCAATGACCACTACTCCGTACTCATCCCAACCAATGACCACTAATCCGTACTCATCCCAACCAATGGCCACTACTCCGTACTCATCCCAACCAATGGTCTCTACTACTCCATACTAAACCCAACCAATGGCAACTATTCCGTACTCTTACTACTTGACCTCTCTGCGGCTTTTGATACTATTGACCATCCCCTCCTCCTCAAAAAAAAACTCCACTCTCTTGGCCTCCGAGACTCTGCTCTTTCCTGGTTTTCCTCCTACCTATCGCAGAGCTCCTTCAGCGTTACCTATAACTCTCTCTTCCCCCCCTCTCCACTTCCTCTTTCTGTAGGGGTCGCTCAAGGTTCTGTTCTTGGACCCCTTCTCTCCTCCATCTACATCTCCTCCTTTGGTCACTTGATAAACTCCCATGGCTTTAAGTACCATCTCTATGCTGATGACACACAAATCTATCTTTCTACCCCTCACCTCACCCCTTCAGTCTCCTCCTCACCTCACCCCTTCAGTCTCCTCCTCACCTCGCCCCTTCAGTCTCCTCCTCACCTCGCCCCTTCAGTCTCCTCCTCACCCCGCCCCTTCAGTCTCCTCCTCACCTCACCCCTTCAGTCTCCTCCTCCTCACCCCCTTCAGTCTCCTCTCGCATTACTAACCTACTAAGTGACATATCGGCATGGATGTCACTCCACTTCCTCAAACTCAGTCTTTCCAAAACTGAGTTCTTAGTATTCCCAACAGCCTGTGCCCCCTCCCCCAACTTCTCCATCAAGAGCAATAATACAACCATCAGTTCCCTCCCCTCATGCCAGGGTGCTAGGTGTAATCCTAGACTCCCATCTGTCCTTTCACCCCCAAATCCAATCACTGTCCACTGTCCAATCTTGTAGACTTCCCCTCCGCAACATCTCCAAGATACGCCCGTTCCTAACCTCGGAAACCACTAAGCAACTTATTCACTCTCTTGTTATATCTCTCTTGCCTTGACTATTGTAACTCCCTCCTCATTGGCCGACCTCATCGCAGGCTATCCCCTCTTCAGTCTATCATAAATGCTGCTGCCGGACTCATCCACCTTACTAACCATTTTCAGTGTCCTTTACCCCTCTCTGCCAATCCCTCCACTGGCCTCCATTCAGTATCCTCCACCCCTCTCTGCCAATCCCTCCACTGGCCTCCATTCAGTGTCCTCCACCCCTCTCTGCCAATCCCTCCACTGTCCTCCATTCAGTGTCCTCCACCCCTCTCTGCCAATCCCTCCACTGTCCTCCATTCAGTGTTCTCTACCCCTCTCTGCCAATCCCTCCACTGGCCCCCACTCACTGTCCTCCACCCCTCTCTGCCAATCCCTCCACTGGCCCCCACTCACTGTCCTCCACCCCTCTCTGCCAATCCCTCCACAGGCCTCCATTCAGTGTTCTCCACCCCTCTCTGCCAATCCCTCCACTGACTTCCCATTGCCCAACGGATAAAATTCAAAACATTAACAATAACATATAAAAGCCATTTATAACTCCGCCCCAAATTACATCACCGATCTTGTCTCTAAATATCACCCAAACCATCCGCTCCTCGCACAACCTCCTGCTCTTTAGCTCCCTTGTCTCCTCCTCCCCCATGCTCAGCTCCAGGACTTCTCCAGAGCTTTCCCCATCCTCTGGAACTCTCTACCCCATTTTATCAGACTATCGCCTACTCTGCTCACTTTTAGGCGATCTCTGAAAACCTCTCTCTTCAGGGAAGCCTATCCTGCCCTCAGCTAATAATGGAATCTTCTACTCCTCCTACCAGTCCATCCCCCACAGTTACTACCTTTTGTACCACTAGCCCCTCCCTCTTAGATTGTAAGCTCCAAGGAGCAGGGCCCTCCTATCCTCTTGTATTGAACTGTATTGTTGCTGTTTTGTCTCCCATTACATTGTAAAGCGCTGAGCAAACTGTTGGTTCCATAAATCCTGTATAATAATAATAATGTCCTGAAAGCATATTTCTCCATAATGATCCCAGATACAGATATTCATCCTACAATGTGATCAGTAAAGTCTCCGGAGTACATGGAGATCTGCGAAATATGATGTGTCCTGGCAAAGCCCAAAGACAAAGGTCATCTTTCATGTTTGGAGAAGTGGGGACACACCCAGGAGAGATGTACAGAAACCTCACAGAGTGCCCCACACAGCTCATCCTCCCAATGTCCCTCCATCCAGAGTCAGAGAATCCTATGACATCACACTGATCCTCACAGCTCCTCCCCCAATGTCCCTCCATCCAGAGTCAGAGAATCCTATGACATCACACTGACCTCACAGCTCCTCCTCCTCCCAATGTCCCTCCATCCAGAGTCAGAGAATCCTATGACATCACACTGACCTCACAGCTCCTCCTCCCAATGTCCCTCCATCCAGAGTCAGAGAATCCTATGACATCACACTGACCTCACAGCTCCTCCTCCCAATGTCCCTCCATCCATCAGAGAATCCTATGACATCACACTGACCTCACAGCTCCTCCTCCCAATGTCCCTCCATCCAGAGTCAGAGAATCCTATGACATCACACTGACCTCACAGCTCCTCCTCCCAATGTCCCTCCATCCAGAGTCAGAGAATCCTATGACATCACACTGACCTCACAGCTCCTCCTCCCAATGTCCCTCCATCCAGAGTCAGAATCCTATGACATCACACTGACCTCACAGCTCCTCTCCCCAATGTCCCTCCATCTGGCTTTTTTCTGATGCTCTTAGGATGTGGGGGGTCCCTTGGTATCCTCACATGTAAAGTGGGACTGTTGGTCCTGCGTTGTATGTAATGACATCAGAGCAACAAGCCTATACCCTGCGTAGTGTGGGGGTCCTGTGGGGGGAAATTATACCTCAGCCTGAAGTGGGGCTTTAATAAAATGGAGACCTGAATGGAGAGGTGAGGAGGATTCTGGGAATATCATTTGATGTGACTATTTGTGTTCAGATGTAGAGTTTTCCTCCTGTGAAGTCTGGAGATCATATGACATCACATTGCCTCCACCTCCCTCCCTGATAGAAGAGAGAAAGAAGAAGAAGATTCTAGAAGTCACCAGAGAGATCACTGAGCTGCTGACAGGAGAGGTGAGCGGTGCCGGGAATTCTGGGACATTCTCCAGTAACAGACAAGGGATGTGTCTGGATGGTGACTGTATCATTGTGTGTGTCAGGTTCCTATAAGGTGTCAGGGTGTCACTGTCTATTTCTCCATGGAGGAGTGGGAGTATTTAGAAGGACACAAGGATCTCTACAAGGACGTCATGATGGACAATCAGCCGCCCCTCACATCACCGGGTAAGAGGAGACTTTATTGTAAAGGAGAGAGCAGTACGGAGGATCCACCTAGATCCCCCATCATCTGATAAACACATAGAAACAATGGATTCAGTCAGTGTGTGTGTTTCCTACAGATGGATCCAGTCATGGGAACCCACCAGAGAGATGTCCCCGTCCTCTGTATTCCCGGGATTCCACACAGGAAGGTCACACCATCCCTCACCATCATCAGGTAGATGATGACAATTATTGGTAGTTGTGATTTATACACAGCATGTTTGTTACAATGAATGTTTTATTATATCTTTCAGAGTGGAATCCTCGGGGATGATAATATTGATGTTAAAGAAGAGTATAAAGAGGAGGATGAGGAGTATGGAGTGATGGAGGAGTTTTCAGAAGGACACAAGGATATGATGGAGCCACCTAATACCAGGAACCCACCAGAGCCATCCCTTACCATTACAAGGTTGGTGGGATGAAGCATCTAGAGCATGGATTCATAGAGACAATGTGTGGATTTTTTATGTGATGTAACAATATTAAAGCTTATGTCTTACAGATGATATTTTCTCTCATTCTCTTGTTTAGGTTGAAGATCTGATAGATATAAAAGTTGAGGTTAAAGCAGAAGAAGAAGAGGCGTATGTGAGGGATGATCAGCAGTCTATGGAGGAGGATGGAATAACGGGGACATTTATAAAGAGGACACTCCTACAGAGATCAGCACAGGTGGGTCATGAACACTAAATCCATTCCTCCACCCATACTGCTCACTGATTGGTCCAGAGTAGGGCGGGGGACTGGGTGATATCAGCCTGTAATCCCCTGGTCACTTTCCTGAGCTGTGTTCCCCGTCCTGTATTCCTGGATTTCTCTCGGATAATCTTCCTTCTCTGTGCTGCAGACACAATTTATGTATCTAGACTGGATTTATGGAGGTTCTGGGGTTCAGCTGGCAGCAAAATGTTCATTTTCACAATAGACATTACTAGACCTAAGCACCTGGGGCATGTGATTTGGGTCTTCTGTCCCAGGACCGGGTCTAGCAAGATCTCTGACAGAACAATTCTCCCAGAGATTCTTACTCTGAGTGCAGTCTCAGGAGATGGGAGGCAGCGGTGTGGGATCTCTGCAACTTGTCTCGTCGTAGACATTTAATCTTCCACTGATTACTGAATACAATATTTATGAGTCCTGACCCTTATACTATAACATTTATATTGTATATTACATACTGCTGACCCCCACACTATGTACTTCTTGTGTTGGGAAGATGGCGATGAGTGATAGAGGGGGGTGGGGACCCTCGTCCTATAATCCCCTCATCACTGTCCCTCCTATAAAACACAGTTCTGGTTGTTTCCTCACTCTCTGACTAAGGTCCATGAAATAAAGAAATGACCTGGTAGGAGATCAGAGGAGCCATTTCCTAGTTCTCTTGAGGGTGGAATTATAAGCTCCTCAGAGCCCAAGCTGCCTGATGTGGGCGGAGTCCTGGTTTGGGGGAACCAATCAGCTCCTGTCTAGTAACCCTCTTTGTCTTTGTATTTTAGTCCATGGCCAGGAGATGAGGAAAACCTCCGAGGATTGTCTCACTTTGTCTCCAGACTGGAAAGTAGAAGATGAGGACATCACACAGTATAGTCCAGGAGAAAAACCCGGCTCCCTCCAATGTCCATCCGGCACCACCCAGTGTAGATGGACCATCGATTCCTCGTATCCTGAGGGAACCTCAGACTGTGCGGGACCGGGCCGGCCTTCCAACAGAGAAGAGCTTCTCCTGTACTGAGTGTGGGGAAATGTTTTTCAGTGAAGTTCAGTCTTTCCAGACATCAGAGATCACACACGGGGGAGAAGCCGTATTCCTGTCCTGAGTGTGGGAAATGTTTTTCATTGAAGTCCCATCTTTCCACACATCAGAGATCTCACACGGGGGTGATGCCATATTCCTGTTCTGAGTGTGGAAAATGTTTTTCACAAATATCCAATCTTTATAAACATCAGAGGTCTCATTTTGGGGAGAAGCCATATTTCTGCCCTGAGTGCGGGAAATGTTTTTCAGTGAAGTCCAGTCTTTCCAGACATCAGAGATCACACACGGGGGAGAAGCCGTATTCCTGTCTGAGTGCGGGAAATGTTTTTCACGGAAGTCCCATCTCTCCATACATCAGAGATCTCACACGGGGGTGATGCCATATTCCTGTTCTGAGTGTGGAAAATGTTTTTCACAGATATCCAATCTTCACATACATCAGAGATCACACACGGGGGAAAAGCCATATTCTTGTCCTGAGTGTGGGAAAAGTTTTTCACATAGATCCAATCTTTACACACATCAGAGATCTCACAATTGGGAAAAGCCACTTTCCTGTCCTGAGTGAGGGAAATGTTCCTCACTGAAGTCCTGTCTTCCTGTACATCAGGGATCCCACACAACGCTGGAGGTGTATTAGTGCCTTGAGTGCGGGAAATGTCTTCTAGATGAATGTTGCTGGACATCCCAGCTCTCATGTGGGGAAGAAGCACACCCTGATATACACCTCAGATATACTCCATGGCTGATCTTCATCATGGAAGAAACAGTTCATAAGGAGATCAGAGGTCCCCAAAGACATGGATGAAGTGTGGGACCAGGTTGGCTATTGATGGAAGGAGAAGAATAAAAATGGAGTCCTTCCCTGTGATTGGCTGAGTACATTTTGTGGTGGGAGATTTCACAAACACTTAGAGGTCTGTTTAAAAATAAATAGTTCTTCCTCCTGTATACCGACACTTCCACCCCTTCCTGCCCAGGCTGACTGGTAACTATCAGCGCTCTCACACATTGAATGACAATTACACCGTCATGCAACATTGTACCCAAATTATATTTTTATCATTTTTCTCACACAAATAGATATTTATTTTGGTGGTATTTAAACACCACTTTTTACCATTTCTGCTTGTTTCTTGTTTTTACAAATAAATGGTCTTTCCTTATAAATGTAGACAAAGGTGTATTCTGCGCCATTTCTTGGGTACAATAACCCAATCAGTGTCTATGATTCAGTGTGTAGGAGAGTTTATAGAGTCTACAAACTATGGGATAGATGTCTGAAAATCCATCATGTCTGATGACGGCAGATCTCATTTCTGAGGATCAAAAACACCAGAACGGTACAAATTGTCAGAACTTTATCTGTGAGGAAATAATCCGTATACAATTCATGGAAACCAGGCGGGATCTGGAATGAAGGAGATTCCCTACTCCCTACTAATTCTCACAAAGTAACCGACATCCCAGTTCTGTATTTGTGATAATTGGAAGATGAAATAAAACGCAATAATGTGCAAAAATATATATTTATTAATAATATAAATCAGTACAAAATGGGGGTGAAATCTAATAGGTGATGATAAATAATAAACAATACAAGATAACAGTACAATGATCTAATCCACAATAATGGGGAGAAATACAAGCCAGCAATTACTTCCAAATATTAATGAATTACATCCAACTGTGTACCTTGGCATGAATTGAAAGACATGGATGAAGTGTGGGACCGGGTTGGCCATTGATGGCAGGAGAAGAATAATAATGGAATCCTGACCTAGAGCACTGGGCTGACTTCTCATTGGGTGCAGCCTATATGCTAGAGATGGTTTGCACCTAAATGGAAGGGGGTCTGCTGTGCTGGGGGAGGGTTTATAGGAAGGCTGGAGGAGTATATAAACTAGGATGGAGGGAGGGAGAATTTGATTATAACGGGGTAGACAGATCAGACGGGTCAGTACTTATTGGGGGGTGGAATGGGGAAAGATGGGGGGAGGACTATGGCAGATGGAAAGACAGTTCCCCTGTTACAAACAACCAGTGGAATTGGTATACCATTTGTATGAAAATAAAAAATACACAAAATCCGTGTGAACAAGGTGTCAGTGAATGGACAAGGTGTTGGTGAAATGGACAAGGTGTCCAGTGAATGAACAAGGTGTCGGTGAATGAAAAGTGTTTGTTCCCCAATAACCAGAAGTGTGCCCAGCACAATAGGTGATTGGACAGGTTTGGTGCATGAAGAAGAACTAGGATTGAATTGGTATTGCTGCTGAATCTTGGCTTCATTCCTCACATGACTGGGCCATTCATATTCCTGGCTTAGGTTCTCTTTCGGAGAGACGGGGAAATAGGAAAGGGGGGTGGAGTCTGTCTCTATGTGAGAAGTGATCTCAGAGCGAGTGTGTGAAAGAGGACCTAGTTGATGGAAGAGTGTGATGAGGCTGAAGTATTATGGGTGGAACTGCACATGGGGGGCGTATTACAAAGGTCATCATTGGAGTTTGTTAGTATAGGCCTCCCAGTGTTAATGAGGAAGTGGAGACTCAGCTCCTCCCACAGATGGAAAGGGCTGCAAGGGCTGGGACAGTGATAATATTGGGGGATGGTAACTACCCGGAAAGTGACTGGAGTAATGGTTCTGCAGGAACAGTTAAAAATCAAAAGTATTTAAACCTACTACAGGACTTTTTTTATGGTGCAGTTCATAGAGGCCCCAACTAGGAATGATGCTCTGCTGGACCTGGTCATCTCCAACCATGCAGAGCTTATTACGAATGTCCATATAAAAGAACATCTGGGTTAGCAGTGACCATAACATTGATTTCATTTATTGTTAGCTGTAAACAGCAGGCACATATGGGAAAAATAAAAACGCTCAACTTTAAGAGAGCTAATTTTCCAGTGCTGAGAGCTGCTCTCCAAGCCTTAGACTGGGAGGGAATATTGGCATCGATGAACACAACACAGAAATGAGAGTTTCTTCATAAAGACTGTATGTGACCACACTGCAAAATTATATTCCCATGGGCAACAAGTATAAAAGGCTACAAATCCAACCTATGTGGCTTAACGGCCAAAGTTACAAAAGCGATAGATAATAAGAAAAGAGCTTTTATTAAATATAACAATGAAGGAACGCGATCATCGTTTACACATTACAAAGAATAGAACAGAAGATGCAAAAAGGAAATAAAGGAGCAAAAAAACTGAAAACAAACAACAGAAAGATATCAGGACGACCCAAAACATTCCTCCAATATATGAATAGTAGAAAGGTCCGGTCCCAGCATGGAGGCCCTCTTTACAGAACCATCTAGAGGGGTGACTGGGGACAAAGAGAGGAAGGACAATGTATGAAATCCCTTTTTCAGTTCTGTATACAAAGGAGTATGGGGGCTCTTGTCCCATAATGTGGCGTGGTACTGACACCTCCCAGATGATCCACATTGGCTCACAATTGATATGATCCAGAAATATTTGTACAGAATAAAGGTGAATAAAGCCCCTGGACCGGATGGCAGACACCCACGGGCCTTAAAGAATTCAGCTCTGTCATCTCACAGCCATTGTTTCTCATTGTTAGGGACTCTTTAATGACTGGCATAGTACCACTGGATTGGGTGTAAGGCCAATGTGGGGGCCAATATTTATAAAGGGGACAAAATCTTTCCCAAGTAATTATAGAGCTGTTTAGTGGAACACTTCTATAGTTGGGAAGATACTGGAGAGTTTAATAAAAGACCACAGAGAGGAGTTCTTGCTGGAAACAAATATTTTATAAGCAACAGACAACATGGATTCATCAAAGACAGAAGTTGTCACACAAATTTGATTTCTTTTTTATGAGGAGGTGAGCAAAACTTTGCACAGAGGAGTAGCTTGTGGTATACTTGGACAGAGGGGTGGTGGAGTGACGTGGTATACTTGGACAGAAGGGTGGTGGTGGATGTGGTATACTTGGACAGAGGGTGGTCAGTGGACGTGGTATACTTGGACAGAGGGGTGGTCAGTGGACGGGTATACTTGGACAGAGGGGTGGTCAGTGGACGTGGTATACTTGGACAGAGGGGGAGCCTGTGGATGTGGTATACTTGGACAGAGGGGTGGTGGTGGACGTGGTATACTTGGACAGAGGGGTGGCGGTGGACCTGGTATACTTGGACAGAGGGGAGGTGGTGGACGTGGTATACTTGGACAGAGGGGTGGCGGTGGACGTGGTATACTTGGACAGAGGGGTGGTGGTGGACATGGTATACTTGGACAGAGGGGTGGCGGTGGACGTGGTATACTTGGACAGAGGGGTGGCGGTGGACGTGGTATACTTGGACAGAGGGTGGCAGTGGACGTGGTATACTTGGATTTTGCAAAAGCAATGACACAGTTCCCCACACAGCTAATGTGTTAAGGTAAAGTCTATGGGCTGGAAAAATCTGAATGTAAATGGATAGAAAACTGGCTAAAAGATCGTATTCAGAGAGTAGTGGTTAATGATTCATACTCTGAATGATCTGGGGGTGTCAGTGGTGTACCCCAAGGTTCAGTGTTATTAGTGGGTACCCCAGGGTTCATATCAGAGGGGTACCCCAAGGTTCAGTGTTATTAGTGGGATACCCTAAAGTTCAGTGTTATTAGTGGGTACCCCAAAGTTCAGTGTTATTAGTGGGGTACCCCAAGGCTCAGTGTTATAAGTGGGGTACCCCAAGGTTCAGTGTCAGTGGGGTACCCAAAGTTCAGTGTTATTAGTGGTGTACCCCAAGGTTCAGTGTTAGTGGGGTACCCCAAGGTTCAGTGTTATTAGTGGTTGTACCGCAGGGTTTAGTGTTAGTGGGGTACCACCCAAGGTTCAGTGTTATTAGATGGGTACCCCAAGTGTCAGTGTTATTAGTGGGGTTCCCCAAGGTTCAGTGTTATTAGTGGGGTACCCCCAAGGTTCAGTGTTATTAGTGGGGTACCATCCAGGGGTTCAGTGTTATTAGTGGTGTACCCCAAGGTTTCAGTGTTATTAGTGGGTACCCCAAGGTTCAGAGGTATTAGTGGGGTACCCCCAGGGTTCATGTGTTGGGACCCTTACTTATTAATATATATATAAACAATATGGGGTGTGAGATTATAAATCCCATTCCAGTCTTTTGCAGATGACACCAAGCTGTGCCGGGGAATAACGTCCTTACAGGAATGTCTCCAACTTACAAGCCGACCTCAATGCTCTGTGTAATGAGATGTTTGTAACCTGAGTCCTCTAAACATATAGTGGGGACCCCCATTGTTGGACACCAATTTTTGGATGTTCTTATCAGTAATCCATCTCTAATACTGAATTGAGATTTGGATGTCACTAATAATTGGTGGTCTTCTTTTTGGGCGTAGTCTTCCTCCAATATAGGGGTGTTACAGGGTCTTCTATGTGTTTATTATTATTATACAGGATTTATGGCACCAACAGTCTGTGCAGCGCTGTACACAATATAAGGGGGGCGGCACGTACAATTACAATACATTTCAGTACAGAAGGAATAGGAGGGCCCGGCCCGTGGAGTTTACAATCTGAAGGAAGGGGAGGGGATACAAAAGGTGATGGCTGCGGGGGATGATCTGGTGGAGGTGATTCAAGTACAGTTCTTAGGTGGAGGTGGGGGTAGGTTTTCCTGAAGAAGTGAGTTTTCAAAGATCACCTAAAGGCAGACAGGGTGGGGGCTGACCGGACA